TGCACAGCATCAGGGGAGGGTTCATTTATCAGACGTGCTGGAGCATCGGTCCTAGATGCCACCACAAAGCAGCTGCACCTGAGCAGCACTGACCTCTCCCAAAGGGGATTTCGCAGCTGCGCCCTGGCCAATGTGGAGCCGGGCTGAGCATCCCGGCAGGCACAGCACAGATCCTGCCATCGCAGGAGACAGCACGAGCCACAGTCTGCAGCCGCCCTGCACAGCACCAGCAAGCCTCTCCCAAGGTCAAATCCCCCCAAGCAGCACAAAGGACCCTCCAGAGACCCCTAAGACTAACGAAGCCTAAAATTCAGGTCTAAACACATATACAGCCAACAAGGTGCCTCTTTCACACCCGGTTGTTACCTGGAAATAGGGCACGCGCTGTCTTGTAAGGGCACTACCTTCATTTTCCCCATGCTTGAACCCCCCCTGGCACTGGCAGCTCCCCTTGTGGCTTTCTGGGCCCCATGTGCACAGAGGCAATTGAAGGAGACACGTTCACTTCTCCGTGCGATGGAGTTATCCTCCTTCCAGTAAATAAATGTCCATGTGTGTACCTCGCGCTTGTATCTGAAGAGGAGATACTGTCTGCCCAGCTCTTTCAATTTTTCATCCTCCTGGAGGGAAAATGTGATAGGAAAAGCCTAAAAATTAAAAAAAGACTGAGGGAACAGTCATGCCTAACACCTTTTTCAGCGCAGTCCACCCAATTATTTTCCTTCCCCTGCCTTTTTTAATTTTAAAGCTTCCTCTGAATGTAGGTCCCAGGTCAGCAAGGCATTAAGGCACTCCTGAAGTACCTCAACTTTAAACCATATCCCATGGAAAGGACACTAATCATCTCTCGCATCTTCAACTAAAGATACAGCACTTTATCTGGGATCCAGAGTGCATCTATAAATATCAGCCCATCTCGCAGCCAGGCAAGTGCTAGGTCCATTACAGAAATGGGTAACCTAAATCACAGAGCTGGCTGGGGCCCGCCCATGGTTAATCTTTATAATGGGAGGGAGCTGGACCAAAATGTGTGTATAGCTGAGATGGCAGGAGGTCCGGTGGGTATATACAGTGAAAATACCAGGGAAAGCTGTTCCCATAAAGATTCCCAGAATAATCCCGTCTCCCCCAGACTCTCTTGCAGCCCCATGAGCTACCACGGGACAGAGGTGATGCAGGACACAGGGGAGCGGTGACGGCCACTCCAGAGGTGTGCAGGTAGAGGACACATCTTGAGGGGGCCCTTCAGAAAATAAAATGAGCAAAGACCTATTTCTCAGCTCTTCTGCTGCTGGAGGAGACTGGATGGGCGACCACAGTGAGGAGAAAAGTTGGCGACCAGCTCGCTATTGCACTGTGTCTAGATCACAGACAGAGAGCTCCTGAAATGCATCTGTAGATCTAAATTAAAAACCTAACGGGATTTTCAACCCCTTGATTTTTGCTAGCATTTTGTTTGCTTTTTATTATCCTAAATGCATAGTTTTTTAAGGCACTGGTCCCTCGGAGAGGGCAAACCTGTACAACACCAAACAAAGCCTTTTGTGAAGCAGAGCGGGCCGTGGGTTGGGCTGGAAGAGGAGATCTCCCTCCTTCCCCAAGCACAGCCTGGGGTCCCTCTGCAAGCCCCAGGGCAGATGCTCACCTGCAAAGGCTGTTCCCAGGGCCACGCTGCCATCGGCAGCGATGCTGCCAGGGATGATGCCAGGCCATAAGATGCGGTACGCTGCTCTATGTGTTGTTAGTCATTTGTTGTGGTTAGTAAGCAAAACCTCCCAAGCTCATTTCTGTTCTGTTACAGGAAGGAGAAAAAGGGAATAAAATAACTCACTTCAAGGTAATTTGCTACAGATTTTGTATATGATCAAGAGGTCTGTAAAAAGTGGGAATAGTTACAAAAATCTAACATGGCCCTTTAGAGAAAAATATCACAAAGTTATCAAACGTCGACAAAGTGAGAATAAATTGCAGTGGTTTCAATGCATTTTGCATGCCTATAGATCACAAACTGCCCAGCTCCTGCCTGCCCACCCCGGGAGCTGCCTTTCTGTTTAGTTTGATGGGGTTTTGGTCAAATCCCAGAGGGATGTCACTGCACGGGCTGGCGGCTCCTTGGCAAGGATTTGGTCCTGGGGGTTGGCACATATAGGGTGTGATTCTCCTCTTCTGTGACCAGCCACCACAAGGACCTGGCACAGGTCCTGCTGCTCTTTTCTGTTCCCCACATCTCTGGGGAAGCGCGAGGAGATCCAGGGTGGGAAAGGTTCCCTTCCCCCCGGGACGCAGAGCACGAGAGTCCCTTCAAACGTGGAGATAAATTTCAAAACCATCACCGAAAGACAGCCGCGTCCCATAAAGTGCTGGCTGCTCTTAGGATTGAAATGGAGATTTCTCCCGCTAATTATAAAAATGGCAGGCAAAACCCTGCACGATATGATTTCTTACATTAAACAAATTTTATGACGGAGAAGACTTTTAGTGGCACTATTTGCAGACCTGGCCTTTCGCCAGCTCACTGTCATTAAATCTGCCGATCTTAAGTATCAGCTGCACTTATTCAAAGGGGCTATAAATAAAACCCTGAAGCCTATTAAAGGAGCCGGCTTCCTCGGGCTGTTTGTCAAGCCTGCGGACAGACTGACATCGCAAGCGTTCGGGCGACCCTGGCTGGTGCTGAGCACGGGCAGCGCAGCATATCTCAGGATGGGTCTTTCACATGCTCACAGATTTATCTTTCATGCTGCAAGACACACGCGACTTTTTCATTAGAAGAAAACCTCATTTTGCGCTGGCAACAAATAGCGCTTCTTCTGTTAGGGCTGGACAAGTCCTTGACCACACTCCTGAAGCCTGAAACTGTTTAACCTTTGGCTAGCTGCAAGGGTTAAAAATTAACAGGAGCACGGGGATAGGATAAGAAATGGAGCTGGGATATTTTATAAGACAAGGTGTTTTAACGTAAAATATGGAGAAGTCACCACTCCCAGTATGTTTATATGCTATCAGCCACACTTGCACTCGGGACTGCCACCGTTCTGGCTCTCCTCTGGGATTTGCCTGGTAAAAAAACTGCCAAGCCCACAGGCTGCGGGTGCCCCCCGCCACCCTGAGATGCCCATGGGTCACAGGCAGGATGCTCCAGGATGCAGCAGCCGTGCTCTGTGTCGCTGATGCAGCCCCTATGAAAAATGGCTAGCAGTACTAATGTGTGGTTAATGACCCATGGTTCAGAAATGACTAAGATGCAGGCATTAAATTAAATTTACAATCAACTTCCTTTTTTTTTTTTTTTTTTTCCCTCCCTGAAACCTTGAAACCAAAGTTCCTAATCACAAAAGTCCATGAAAGTACCTCTTCGCTTCCAGGCAGGGCAGGTGACTGCAGGCAGCCGCAGTATTGAAGTTGGGTGCTGTCACCATGCCAGGCGTGACACGGGGCTGCTTCAGTGGCAGGGTAAATTGATGACACCATCGCAGGAGAGCTTACTGGTTGATGCCAGGTTTATTTTTGTAAGTGCAAACTAATGAAATTTAGAGGTTTTAATTAAAAAAAAAAAAAAGTAGAAGCTACAATTTAAAATGAAATTCATAACCGAACCGAGTGCCAATCGCATTAAGGAAACGAGCAGCTCAGGCATTTTCCCAGAACAGCCCCCACATTTTTTGGCAAGAGGCGGGGAGCTTCAGTTTGTCCCAGTGAAGCTCCTGGCTCTGCACAAGCGATGGAGGGCTGTGAGCAAGCGGGGGCTGTGCAGCATCCCTGCAGACACCGCACCGTCCGTCTGTCCTGGGCTCAAACAGGGAGGAACCACCGCGAGGGGCTTGCGATGATGCTTGCCCTGCAGCAGGCACCGACCTCTTACTAGAGACCGTTTATCCCTTTCCCATTCCCCCACCGCTCAGCCGAGGGGGGACCTCACTCATCGTGTTCTGAATTTTAAAAGGTGGCAAAGAAATTGTTTAAAAGGCAGCGAAAGGGAAGGAAAAGTAACCACAAATCCACAGCAGAGGTGTCCCAGAAAATGAAGGTGAGTATCCAGGAGGAGAGCTGAGGAAAAGACAACCTTGAACATCTCCCAACAGTAAGGGTGCATAATTTAGAGCAACCTGGAGGCATTTTGTAGCTTGCTTATTTTTCAGACTTTCTGCTCTCTTCTCTCGTACTTCTTTACTTCTCTACTCACAGATTTGCCCCTAAATACTCTGCTGGGTTAAAGAAGATGGAGGGGGTTATTTTCAAGAGCGGGGACAGGCGCATCCCCAGTCACTGAGCCCAGCAAGGGCCGAATCTGGAGAATTGCTGTGGTTTGGTTTTGCTCTGAAACAGTGATTCTATAACAGTAATACATTAACATGCACCAGCTGTAAATAAAATCACCCAGACGGGAGACTTTTCAAAACCATCAGAAGTCTCTGTTCCAGCCCTTGGCTGCAAAATTTTTAGGACCTGCAAGAAAAGGGTTGGTTGTTTTTTTCTTGCTTTCCAACAGAGCCAGTTAAAATGAGCACAAGCGTGACACGCGGTCAGCACAGCTTGGCCTGGGCTGGATTCAAGCCAACACAACCTTGAAGCACGTGCCAAAGGCAGGAGATGAGCAGATGAGAGGAAACCTTCAGATCTCAAGCCACATGTGCAGGTGCCCTAAGCACAGTTCTTCCTCTCTCTTGGCTTAGCCCCCATCGCTGAGGTTTGCAAAAATCGCTGGAAATCTCCTGGGAACCAAAAGGCAAGTGAGATTATTCCCCAAATGTGATGTTTTTATGGCAGCCCTGTAAAAGCGCTTGTGTGTGCTTGGGGAACAGCCACAGCAGGTGGAGCTGAATATGGGAAGTGGCTGCCAGAAGAAATCAGGAGGTTGGAGACCATCTGAAGCAGACGTACGACAGATTGTTTTTTGAGTCATTCTGCATCCACTGCCATGATGAGCCTGAAATGCATCTGTGCTGCAACTGGCGGTGGTTGGGCTGAGGTTTTCCCTTCTGCTGTGTTTCTCCTACTAGTTCTTTGGGCTGGTGGCCTTTCTGGAAGAAGAGACACTTGGACTGGATGGGCAGGAACAGGCACTGGAGAGCATGAAGCAGCACAGAAATCCTTCAGCATCCATCCCCATCCCTGGCCGAAGGAAGAAAATGAAGATGCTGAGACGAGAGCTAATGAACACACCAAGGGACGTGAGGAGAAGAACATTAATTGCCTGTACAGCAGTGCGGCGAGTCTGAGCGATAAAAAAAGGTGGGAACGACTAATTTATGAGTGCAAATTCTGTCTGGACAGCATGACTTAAACTTGGGGAGAAAATCCATGTGCCTGGAATATTAAAATCAATAGTTGTAACCTATTTAGAAAGAACTGAGTGGGCAAAGAAGGTGCAGGAGGGACAATCAATATCAGACGTGACATTGCTGCGTTCCAAGCACCACTAGAAACTTAAGAGAAAGTGACCTCCAATACAAATAAAAGCCGAAAGAAGATGCTTCTTCAGACCATCAAATCTCGCTGACTCCTTAGTCACATATCTATATAATATTTAAGAAAATTTCCCTATGCTGTCCTGGGGAACCTCAACTTGAATTATGTGAGCTGGAGGGCTCACGCTGCTGGGTTTTGGAATTTCTAAATGTCATAGAAGAGCATTTCCTAACCAAAACCAGGAGGATCCTCTGCAGGATCATCTTGACAGCTGGCGAACCGATTAGAGATCCAAAAACTAGCTACAGCCGGCACAGAGGTGACCCTGTTTCAATTGTACATGCTGGGCACAGACAGAAGAAAGCCTGAGCCAACAGTAGGTCCCTTTGCTTTTCGGCGTTGTAAGCCAGGTCACCTGGAGGATTTTAAACAGAAGATGTGAATGATATTTGGCAACCCTTTGTTTAAAAGCACTCTGGCTTCTAGGGAATCTAGTAAAGTCTCAGCGTGGAGAAAGAAGAGGTTATTCTGGTTAAAAACAGAAGCTCAAAGGGGAGTGAGAGTAGGTCTACATTCACTCAAAGGAAGGAAGGGAAAGTGGGTAATGAGGAACGTAAACCATCCCCAAGCAGAAGGCTGTCAGGTCAAACCTATGGCTAGCAGAGCTGAGGGCAATAGGGAAGTGCTCTTTAGATATGAGAGACTAAAAGTAGTTGTCTAGACAGAATAGCAGACATTAAAAAAAGAATGCATAAAAGGCAGACGCTAAATATTTAATCTCTCTATTTTGGGGGAAAAAAGCTAAGTGGAGTAGCAATGTAATATGATGATGTGAAATATCTTCAGTTCCAACTCAGGATGTTAAACAGCTGCTACTACAGCTACAGGATTTTTTTGATCAGCAGTCCTCAATCTTCAGTGCCTGAGAGTTTTAAAATCTGTCCCAGGAGCACCCCGGGCCGGCAGCGTCTGCGAGGCGAGGAGTTTTCCAGAAGACCGAAGCAGCGCTGACTTTGTGCCAATGCATAAGTGTCGATGAGGGGGATGACTTGCATAATTATAAATCTGATTGTCTGATGTTGATTTTGTGAAAAATAATGGAAGAGCTGATAAGGGACTTGATTAATAACAATTTAAGGAGAATAATTAATTACAATCAACATGAGTTAATGGAAAATAGATCTTATTAAATGAAATTGATATAATTTTTCAAGAATGTGATTATAGATTTGATTGATTTAGTACATTTCATCAACACTGTTACGTTTGACTTCTGCGAGGCATTTGACTTAATGTTGTCTCATTTATGAGGAAGCTAAAACAATGTAAAATCAACACGGCATGGGCTAAGTGGATGCAAACCCCACTGATATGTTCAAACATATCAGAGAATCATCCCAAGTGGCTGTGTTTCCATTCATCATTTTTAGCAAATGGTAGAAAATCAAAACTCATTACAATCAAAGTTTGCTGATGAGACTGGGAGTAGGACCACGGTCAGTACGTGGGTCGGTCTCTTCCTCAGATCTGCATCTTTCGTGAACCAGATATAAGCAAACACCAGCCAGTTTAACGTGGGCACACATGAAGCCACACTTCGAGGAACCAGGATTTCACCGGGGGGAGGAGGGATCCTATTACACAACGCTGGAAACTTGAAAAAATAGCGGAGTGAAATATCTCCGGTGTAACATCTACTGGGACACTGCAGCTATTTCTGGTGTCTGCGACTCAAGAAGGATGGTGATGAATGGGAGAGGGCACATGAGAATGACTGAAGCGTTGCAAAACATGCCTTATAGTGACAGATTCAAGGACCCCAATACGCTTAGCTTAACAAAGAGAAGGTTAAGGGATGGCTTAATGACAATCCAGATGTATTCAGACAGGGTACAGAAACGCAGAAAGGAAGAGCTCTTCAATCTAATAGACAGAGCTATAAAAAGAGCCAGTGACTGGAAGCTGACACTGTTAAATTCAGACTGGGAAGGGTGTGCTTTTTAAATTGGGAGAAGTGACATCAGAACAACTTCCCAACAGATGGTTTCATCATCACCGGCCATTTCAAAATCATGCTGGGTTTTTTTTTGTTTTAAGCCATATCCTGGATCCACCAACGATCACTGTGAATTGACATACAGACACCCACACCGCATGGATGGGGTGGTCCTTCTTTGGTTTTATACTGTTTCTAATAATGAGTATTTAAGTCATCATCCCCGAGCACTGAGTGGGACAATTCCCTTTTCTCGGAGTTATTGGTCTGGCCTTGGCAGAGACTCACGCAGACACCTCAGTGTTATTAGTACTTCATCTTTGCTAGTGGAAAGGCTGGAAAAGTACTATAAAACCAAATAAAATAAACACAGCCTACATCCCTCTGCTATAAATACCCCAAAATGCAGTGCCAAAGAGACCAGCTCAAAGCAAGTACATGAAGGACCTGCATTCCAGTGGTCCAGTTAAATCCTGCTGATCCCCATCTGCTGCTTTAGTTTGATAGACTTTTCAGGGAAGTGACACATCCATATTCCTTAAAAGTTGCTAAAACTGTGAGTAAAAATGTGTAGTTTGATAACACACTCATCTACGCCCAGGAAATCACAGAATGAGAGTGCGCCACGATCATGCACAGCGGGGCTTTCTGCAGGAGCAATGCCACGTCTCTGCTTTCTGGTTTGGGAGCTGCTGAAATTTCTCCTTTCATGGAAATTCTTCAGCAGGAGCCCTGGCCGCAGACCCCTCACTCGGGCAGCTCCAGGAGCCACCCACTGACTTCTCCTGGGACTGGTCTGCAAGCCCCAGCTGACATCTTACTGTGCATCCAGATGCACTGGGGACCAAAGAGTTATATTTCCCAAGTAACAAGCGATAGGACGAGAGGAAATGGCCTCAACTTGTGCCAGGGGAGGTTTAGATTGGATGTAAGGAAAAATGTCTTTACTGAAAGAGTGGTTAAACGTTGGAACAGGCTGCCCAGGGAAGTGGTGGAGTCCCCATCCCTGGAGGTATTTAAAAGACGAGTAGATGAGGCGCTTAGGGACATGGTTTAGTGGGTGGTGGTGTTGGGTCAATGGTTGGACTCGATGATCTTAGAGGTCTTTTCCAACCTCAATGATTCTATGATTCTGTGATTCTATATATATCAAAGTTAATTTTTTTTTTTTTCTTTGGGTACTGGGACATTATTTCTGTGTTTTCAAGCTCCGAAAACTGTCAGGAAAAAATTTTCCTTCCAAAGAAATACTGTGATGGGTGGAGGTGGTTAGATAAGAACTGATATCCAAAAGCGGGACAACTAAAGTTGTTTAATAATTGATTTATATATAAAGGACTTTATCTTCTGCTAAGGTCTTTACCTTTTAAAGCAGGTCTTTACCTTATATAAAGGATATAAAAAAGATGCAATTTGTTATGGTAACTTGTAATGAGATCAGCAAAGAAAGTCTTTTAAGCCCCTCCATGGCTTATTCGTGATTTCACTGTGGTTCTTCAATAGCAAAATCCATCCAGCTGTAAGTTTAGGGCCTCATCCCTGAAGCTGGGGGGCTGGAACCTTGTCTCACCCCTGCTGCCCACACCACGGAGCTAGCTGCCCATGCTGAGCACCGCCAAGGACTCTGGGTCCTGAGCTGTGCTGGATTTAGCTCTGGCATGACTCAAGCCATCACTGCTGTCCCCACCGCCTGCCACCTCTTTGCTGCTGTGACCAGCACCCGAGAGCCACAGCAGATAATCCAGATTATGAATTAGTGGGGAGGAGGCAGCACTGTGGGATGCTGCCGACCGCAGTAGCTAACCCCAAACACACTTCCGTATCTCCTGCTCAGGGCAGAGGGCATCAGGCAGCAACTTCTTCAGCAGCTCCAATTCAGTCTGCAAGAGCCCTCTGCTCCAAATGCCATTTAATCCAGCTCTGTGTTAGCCAGCCAACAAGATTTCCATTGATTTCAGGTTTTGGCCCAGGAACTGTGCAGATGCTTTTGAACTGAACAACTTAAGCACAACGCTTATGTTTTGTCAGAAAAAGCCTGAACCAGCAGAAACTCTTTTAAAGCCAGGGCAACATCATTACCATAGAGATAAACACTACTTTAATGTGGTTCACCGTAACAACAGACCGTTTATTAAAACACTTCACCATTTAATTTATTCAGCATTTTATATTGAAGAGTATTTTCATTAGGATTCCACTGCAAAACCGAAGAAGGCATTAAATCATTTAATATACTGACAGCTCACTTAATTTATTTAAGCACAGGAGTCTAATTCATAAAGCAGACCTTACACAGAGCCCTGTCTTTACAGTCCTGGCATACAAGGTCTTACTCATTTCAGGGTAGGGTGTTATATGAATTTAGTCTGAGATCCCGCTACGTGCTCTCCTTTGGTCAGCAACCTGCTGCATTGCTGCACCTGCCAGAGCTACCTTTAGAAATCCCTCCTGGTGCACACCAACCCAGCTCCATGCCTTTTGCTTCTACTGACGCTTGTGAGCATCTAGCCCTCTGCATTTGCCATCTGGCTTTGTTTGGTCCTTGATGGATCACAGAGCAACCAGCATGGCTGGAGCAGCAGAGATCGGCAGGGAAACGGCCACAAATGCAGCAAGCCCTGAGGTCCTCAATGAAGTCTTCAATATAACTCTTGTTAATTGGCGTTCCTGGCTCTGGAGCACTTGGTAAAGTCTGGGAGATCCACTGCAATGTACTCCTGTCTTGGTTTGTATTGAATTAATTAGCGACGCTCGATTCTTCAGCTCTGGGGTGATGTATGGTGAGGCTCCACCAGCCCTGCCCTGGGAGGTGCTGAGCAGCATCAGGACTGTCCACAGCTGTCACATCAAAGTTGTCACATCCTGCCTGAAGCAAATCCTCCACTTGGTATTCTGGGTGCTCAGCTCCTCGGACAATCAAGCCCTTGTGGCTTATTACTGATGTTCCCAGATCTGCCATAATAAATGGTGGAGAAGAAAATTGTCACCTATGACAAAGCCCTGGGTGATATTGGGGTCCCCGGTCGCTCCTGGTTTGGCTGCTTTCCAAGACTGGTGTTGAAGCGGAACCTCGGAAACAATAGCACATTGTCAATAGGATGCACAGGACGTCATTAATAAACATTAGGGAGCTTGATATGATCTGGCGAAAGCAGTACAATGAAATGAGGTACCAAAAGCAGGATGGAGAGGAGGGGAAGAGACCTGAACAGGGTGTTTAATGACTCACCGGACTGTGAAATGCAGCGGAGAGCAAGGCTGGGATAGACAACCTTTTAATGAATTCAACGTGTGTGCACCCTTTGAAGGCTTAGCTCCCCATTCCCCAGTAATGTTTGACCCACCTGAAGATACTGATCATATAGAAAATAATAACCAGTAAGTAATAATAATAGTAATAATAGGAAGAGCAGGACCCTCATCTCCAATTCATATTTATAATCCAGCAAATATCTCACCTAAAGCCAGAAGATTTATGGGTTTGCATCTATAATTAATATCCTTCCTTAAGCAAGAAAGGGTATATTTTCGTACAAATAAATCTGGTGCTCTACACCTGGATTTTGAAGACTAATATTTAAATCCCCAGCAAGACACAGGTATTGATTGTATAGATACATACACAACAGAGACACGCCATGCACATATATATAGATAGCATTGTATATTTATTTTTAAAATAAATAGACATAGTTTCTCTTTTAAATGCAATAGATGAAGCTTAAGCAGGAAAAAGGAGGAAGATGGGGAGGTCGGCTTGGTGTCTGCTTCAAACTGTCCCTGTTTCCCAAAGATTCAATTTGCATTAGGCCTGCTGCTAACGGCAGGGCTGTTCCTGGGCGCCAAGACACATAAAGGGCTTTGAGACAAAGGCAATCGATCTAGTTTTAGTTTTATGAGGAAAATAAACAGTTAGGCTGATATAACAGTAAAAGGGTCAAACCGGGTCAGGGCTAATGAAGTGACTCACAGCAGCTTAAAATTAAAAGACCCTTCCTTTTCTCCATCCTCCCTTGCATACCTCTCCTCCGCGAATGACCCCCATATCTGCCCAAAATCACATGCGTGGGCGACAGCAAAGCACTAGGGGTCGAGCCAGCTCATTCGGGGCTGGGGGCAGGACTTGCCTTGGCTGAGGGTTTCCATCTCCAGCAGCATCTGCTGAGCGATGGAAACCTCCAGCCAAGGCAAGTCCTGCCCTTTAGCTCCTCGCCATGACCACGGCATGGACCACAGCCACTGCAGGCTGCCAGGGAGGCTCAAAGGTGCCTGAAATCACCCCTCGAGGGCTGAATCGGCCACTGGTGGTTGGAGTTTTCCTTTAAGGACCTGTGTTGTAGGCTTGGAGCTTTGCAACCTCAGGTCTAGCTCGGGTCTCGTGGGGTAACCTCTTTGCTAGTCCACAGCGGGTCAAGACCAGCTTGCTCAGCATCTGCGGGCTCTGGTCTGCACTCAGGGGGTCTCCTCACTCCCTGAATAGTCTCTACAACCAGGATTCAAAAGGTTTATTTGTCCTTTTTTTTTTCTCCTTAGGATTTCTTTTCACTTTCCTGAGTTGTAACTAGCAGAGTGGGAATGTGCTGGGTAAGCAGTCAAACCAAAACTAGGAAAGGACAGCTTCTCTGGTGCAAGCAGGGATTTATCAGAAAAATATTGAGAATTACTGGAAATTTAAACGTAGGCACTGTTCCAAGGTCAAGGGTGTAAGCATCACTTCACTTAGTGGTGCACTTACCAATAGAGGTAAAGTACTTCTGCTGTTCTGGATCCAAAGAGTAAAGACATGAACAGAGCCCAGACACTTGTATTTATACTGTCCTAAGCTGTATAACATCCCCATTTAACTGAGATTTTAATTATTCATGTTTAAATTCTATTCATAAAAAAAAAAATCCCTTATGCACTCGGTCATTTAAGGAGCTCATCAGTGATTGTGTGCCAGTGCGAGAGCTCTGTTCAAACCTCACGGCACTGGCTGCCATGAGCTGGGAAGGAGCTCCTTCCCCCAAAATTATGGTCTCCCAGAAGAGAGATTGTACCCGTGGGAAGGAGGAGGAGGGAAATGACAACAATACTGGTGCGGTGCAGCAAAACTGCGGCCAGCCCCCAGGCAGGCTGGCTGCACCCTGCTTTGGGCTGTCAGCTCCATCACCCGCGGGCTGCATGGACAAGCAGACAGTCTCCTTCCTCCTAACATCACCTTCCAGTGTCAGGAAACCTCTGTGGAAAGGGGGAGAAAAAAAGAAGCAAAGGAAACCTTCTGGCAAGCACACGAAGGAGCTGTGCTGCTCCAAAACCTAGTCACCGTGGAAAAGCTTTCCCTATCGACACGTTGCCCATTGCACTCCATATATGTTTTTTACCCCCATGAAGAACATGTGCTGTGAGCGCTTGGCCACTGCTCTTACCTGCGGCTGTGAAAGGCGGAATAAATTCATGGCTGTTACTCTGCAAGGCCAAGTACAAATAGCACAGGGGCTCGGGAAGCTGCAGCCAGTGTGGGGTACTTAGCGAAGGCAGAGCTTTGCTGCAACTTCATTTTCATGATTTAGCATTCCTGCTGTAAATAATTGATACTAATGTAAGTGAGATAAGAGACAGACTGTCTGTGGGCCGGGAGGAAGTGGATCCTGGTGACATCCACCCGAAAATGCGCTTGCGGATTTATCTGAAATAAAAATGTTGAAAAGCCAAACACAAAATCTGAGAGGTGGGGAAGGGAGGGGGGATAAAAAAGATAATCTGTGGATCAGCTCCGAGGACTCTCATCCCTCTAAGAAAAAGCTCCCGATATTAATTTCCTTAACAAGAGAACTCCTGCACTAACTAGCACTTTTTAGCGCTCCTTAAGCATTGCTCTCACACTAGTCAATAAG